GGTTTTTTTTTTTTTTTTTTTTTTTTTGTCGGTCTACACTGCCTCCTTCTTCTCGCCCACCTAACATACTCATCTTCTTCTTCTTCTCGCCGTTTTTTCTCATCCCCTGCCCGCCATCACCACCAATCATCATCATCTTCATCATCTTCTTCTCCTTCTTAGTCCCACCTTCTTCGTCTTCTTCTTCTTCTTCTTCTTCACATGTCCGACGGACATCCAGCATATCCCAGCTTTTTTTTTTTTTTTTTTTTTTTTTTTTTTTTTTTTTGAGAGGTTGAAAGGGGGGCCAAGGGGGGTGAGTTCGGTGTTTGTTGGCGAGTGCTTCCACACGTTGTTGTTCAATGGTGGGCGGCGGCGGCAGTGGCGCTGCTGCAGGCGGTGGCAGTGGCGGATCCGGAAGGAGGAGACCTCCGTCAGGATCGACAGACAAAGGAAAGGCCAGTGCCAGTTCCAGTGCTCCCGCATCTGGGGTGATTGCAAAGGATCCCACGCCGGCGTCAGACCCCTCTCTGTTCGTTCCTCAGGATGACACAAGGCAACAACAACTGCAGCGCACTCGGGACGTGTGGAAATACGTCATACATGGTCAAGAAGCCCTGCCGAAGGGTCGAGGAGAGTACTGGCTCAAGTGCCGGCTATGCACGCAAATTTGGAGGGGCGCGAGCACAAGGGCAGTGGAACAAAAACTCGTTGTCGCCGTTGAGGACAGGTGAGATGGTGCACAAACTCGTTGTTGCCGGTGCGAAGGTGCTGCCGAGCGACAAAAAGACGTAGTACCTCCTCAAGAACTATAGGCAGTTGCATGGCATTGCGGAAGGGGGGACGACTGCGACAGAGACTTAGGACGCGGACTCCGAGCCGCTCGTTTGCGGGTATGGCGAGCCGCAGCCACCAACCACTGCAGGGATGGTGCCACCGAAAACAGCTTCCTGAAAAGAGTCAGTCGCCGCTGCAGACGAGGGGCTTGCGGAAGGTTCAGGGTCGAACACGAGGGTGGCATCACTGCAGCAAACATCAATCAAGAGATGGGTGGACAAAGATGCACAGAAGAAGCTGGATATTGCGTGGGCGGAGGCGATGTTCTGCGCTGGCATTGCGTTTAGCTTCCTGAACTTTGACACGACGCAGAAGCTCCACGAAGTTTACTTGGAAGTGGCGAGTGCTCGACCGAAGGTCACGCTGCCCTCGTACAAGCATATGAGGACGGTGATGCTCGACTTCATCTACTTGCGAATTCAAAAGCAAGTGCATCCTCTGACAGCCTGTTGGGATGAATCAGGCTGTACATTCATCACGGACGGGTCATCCACCGTCGAGAGCGCCCTGTCACGAACTTCTTGGCAGCAGGGGCGAAGGGTGCAGTTCTGGTGGCCACAGTGTCAATGACGGCAAGGAAGAAAACAGCGCAGGCGTTGGCAAGTTGTGGGAGCAGATCATGAGGGAGATAGGGGTGCATCGCATCAACGCGATCTGCACTGACAATGCCGGGGTGAACAAGAAGGCTGCTCAGATTCTGGAGCGCCGCACTAACAAGGACATTGCACGGATTGCATGGGTCCCTTGCTTGCGCATTGTTGCAGCCTTTTGCTGCGAGACATCAGCAAGCTAGACTGGGTGCAGAGCACTGTCAAGAGAGGCCACACGATTGTGAAGTTCATCCGGAACCACCACTCCACGAATAGCCTGATGATGTCCATTGACGATTCCCTGACATTGCTTCGTTCTACGGAAGTTCGGTTTGGGTCCGTGTACGTGATGTTGGAGAGGCTTCTCAGCAGGAAGACAGTGTTGTCCGATATGGTGGATCGGAAAAATGCAGCACGGTGGACGGGGATCCGTTGGTCCACTGCGAAGTTGAAGTCGAAAGCGGACCTGGTTTACTTCACCATGAGGAGAGACAACTGGTGGACGAAGTTGAAGAAGGTGGTCGACGTCATGGAACCGTTGTACAGCCTTCTCAGGAGGATGGATCGGGATGGAACATCGCCGACAAACCTTGTCGAATACGACGACCTGATTGAAAGGAAACTGGCTCACGTCGTTCTCACTAAGGAGCAGTGGGCGAGCGTCATGGAGAAAGAGAGGTCGGGTGAAGATGATGTGGCAGCCAGTACATGCACTGGCGTTTCTTCTGGACCCGCGCAGGAGAAATCCACAGTGGCTCTATAATCGGGACAATGCAATTGTGCAGAACGCGATGCATTACCTGCAGAGACAGGTTGGAGGTCCTTGGAAAGGGCTAGACCGCCTTGACGTTTTGGGTGACCTGCACGAGTTTCACAAGGAGCCCACGCCGAACGGGCCCAAGAGAAAGGACAAGAAGATGTGGGAGCCCGATGCGAAGGTTGATTGCGAGAAGCTCACACCGTCAGAGTGGTGGGCGACTTATGGCGGTGATGTCCACGACTTGCAGGCCATTGCCATCAAAGTGATGGGCATGTGGAGTACAGCAACCCCGGCTGAGAGGAATTGGTCGTCCATGGACTTCGCGCATTCCAAAAGCAGGAACAGGTTGAAGGCTGAAACATTGGAGAAGCTGGTGTACATCCATTGGAACATGCAACTGCTGCGTGCTGCCAACAACAGCGGTGCCAACGGTGAGGGCTACGTCGATTTGTGAAGTTCGTTCTTCGAGGCTATTCCGAAGCCAGATGAGAACGATGGATCTGTCTTGAGGGGCCCTAAGGAAGAAACTAAGAAGACGGATGAGGAGCTGGTGCGGCAAAGTAGCTTCATGAAGACACCGAAGGGAAGGATTCCAAAGAAGCTCGAGGACGAAGAGGATGAGTGCACCGACGACAGTGACTTGGATGATGAGTTGTGGAAGGGGAAGTGTGGATTGTCGGATGAGACGAGCGGCGAGGAGGAGGAGGAGGATGAAAGTGATTCCGATTTTGAGCTGGGAGCCCAGCCATCGGTCACGAGCACTACTTATGTTGGTAGGAGAGAACCTGCAGGGCGTCGGAGGGAGAAGCAGCCCGCGGTTTCCACACAGGCCGGGGGGGAAATCTCCTCCCAATACCATCCTCAGTCTGACGTAGAGTTCCACCACATGGACACGGACATCGAGTTGCTGCTGCAAAGTGGTCCGGTTGATGAAGACGAGGCGGAGGCCGACCGTGCAAAGGCATTAGCAGATCGCGATAGAGACGCCGTCCAAAAACGGATCATGGAAGAGGACGCCCGACGCGCAGCGATCCCGACCCGGAGGGAGATTGAGAGACGCAAGAAGAAGGTTGGGGAGAAGGAACCGGAGAGACGTCGGGCATTGGGTGCTGTGCAAGAGGGAGATGAGGAAGAGCAACAACAAAGTGGACCGGTTTTGAAGGTGGCGGACCAGCAACAGGCGGAGCACCGCAAAGAGGCGGACCAACAAGAGGCGGAGCACCGCAAAGAGGCGGAGGAGAAGGACCAGCAAGAGGACAACGACGACATGGACCACCTACAAGAGGCGGAGAAGGAGCATGAAGAAGAGGACGAGGAGATGGAGCAGCAAGAAGATGCGGAGGCCATGGAACTGCAAGAAGATGCGGAGGGCATGGAAGAACAGGACATGCAGCACAACGTGGATGACGAGGACAATGAAGAGGAGCACCGACCTGCAGTGAAGACTGTGTACACGCGTAGGCAACGACCGGTTGTGTCCGCACAGTCTGTTGAGAACTCACCCGACTTCCCTCCAAGCAATGAGACTGCCCAACATGACAACCTGTGGGTGAGCAGGGTGGGGAGGAAGAGGAAGGAACCGGTGGATGCTGCTGCTGCAAAGCCTAAGCGTGCTCGTGGCAGGCCCCGCAAGCTGAAGACCGCTGAACCCGGTGCAAAAAAAAAAAAAAACATTCGCCAGTGCAAGGCTCGCGCGGAGGTTGTGGAGGATGACCCCGATTCAGATAATTGCAGTGAACGGTCATCTGAATTCGAGGGAAGCCACTCCGATGGCGAATGAGGTCGTCGTGAGTGTGTGTGTGTGTGTGTGTGTGTGTGTGTGTGTGTGTGTGTGTGAGAGAGAGAGAGAGAGAGAGAGAGAGAGAGACTTTATGTAATCGATTGTGGAACAATGTGGACGTGGTTTCTCTCCAGGCTTGTTTGTTTGTTTGTTTTTTCGATCTTGTCATCCCACCCTCAGCACCCCCCGCTGACATCCCACCCCGAGCATTCGACCCACCGACGGGCCCCCAGCAACACCGACCCCCCCCAACCACCCACTGATCGACCCCAAGCACCACCGACCGCCCCCAAGCACCACCGACCCTCCCCGACCACCCACCGACCCGCCCCAAGCACCACCGGCCGGCCCCCAGCATTACCGACCCTTCCGACCACCCAGCGACTGGCCCCAAGCACCACCAATCGGCCCACCGACGGGCTCCTAGCAACACCGACCCGCCCCAAGCACCTCCC